AGATGAAGAAACTAGAATAGCTATAACAATTTTGAAAAAGAGTAGAGTGGGAGAAATCAGTCAACTCAATTTTAAGACTTGTTATATAGCCACATTAATCAAGGCTGTGTGGTATCAATGGAAGGACAAACACATGATCAGATAACAGATTATAGATTTGGAAACAGAAGAGAGAACCCAGAAATAGATCAACATAAATATGTCCAACTAACTTTTGACACAAGCGTAAAGCAACTCAATGGAGGAAGAATAGCCTTTTCAACAAATGGTACTGGAGCAAGTGGACAGCCATAGATAAAAAATAAACCTTGACCTCAGTCTCACACTTCACAGAAAAATTAACTCAAAATCAATCATGGACTTAAATCCATAAAACTATAAAACTTTACAAAAAAAAAAAAAGGAGAAAATTTTCAGGATCTAGGGTTAGGTAAAAACACCAAAAGTATGATCCATAAAAGGAAAAACTGATGAAGAATATAAGATTGCTTTAATATTTGAAAGTTAATCAATGTAATTCCTGACTAAGAAAATAAAGAAGAAAAATCACATAACTCAATATATGCAGAAAAACCATGTGAAAAAGTCAATATCCACTCATGATAAAAACTCTGTTCCAACTAGAAATAGAAGGGAACTGATAAAGGCATTTACAAAAAAAAAAAAAACAACAAGCCACCACCAGCATCACCTGGTACTTAATCGTGAAATGCTGAAGGCTTTCCCTCTGCAATCAGAAATGAGACCAGGATGACCGCTATCACCACTTCTATCCTACATTGCTCCATTGTACCAGAGGTCACAGCCAGTACATTAAGACTTGAAAAGAAAATAAAAGTTCTAAGATTGGAAAAGAAGAAATAAAACTATCATTACTCAGACAATACAATTGAGTGCATATAAAATCGAAAAGAATCTAAAGATTATCTGTTGGATTACCAAGATAATTTGGCAAGGTTGCTGGATTGTTTTTCTCTAAACCAGCAAAAATTAGAAAATAAAATAAAACCTAATGGTCTAGACCTATCAGCAGCATCTACACAGGGGATAATCCCTCCTCAGGAGAACACCCTTAGGACATTCAGTATCTTCTCCTAAGGAAAGTACCACTTTTAGGATTTTCTTTAGGATTTCAACCTGGAAACAGTGGAGTGCTCGAGAGCTTGGCCCCGGGATCTCTTCCTTTCCCTGATTTACCAGCTCCTTTGGTGATCTCACTCAGTCTCATGGCTTTAAACACTAACAAAATGCCAACAAATTTATCTCTCCAACCTGCACCTCTTCCCTGATTCCAGACCCACATCAAACTACCCACTGAACATCTCCACTTTGTGTATCTAGTACACATCTCACACCAGGTGGGTCTAAAAGTGATCTCCTGATCCTCCTGTGCAGACCTGCCCTAACTACAGTCCTCTCAGTCTCAGCTACTGGCAACTTCCAGTTGCTGAGGCCAAAAAACTAAGGGCCATTTTTGCCTCCTCTTTCCCTCACACTCATGTCTATCATTCAGCAAATCTTGCCAGTTTTAAATTAAAAATATATTCAGGTCATATAATAATTCTGTTACCTGTAAGGAACTGCCAGAATGTTTCCCAAACTGGCTGTACCGTTTTAATTTCCACCAGCAATTTCACCCATTTCTCTACATTCTTACCTGTTATTGTCTGTCTTTCTAATTATGACCATCCTAATGATATCACGTTGTGGTTTTCACTTGCATTTCCCTAATGACTAACGTTGTTGACCAGCATTACATGTACTTATTGATATTTGTATATCTTCTTTGAAGAAATGTCTATTCAGATCCTTTGCTCATTTTTAAATTTAAGGGTTACTTGTCTGTGTTATTGAGCTGTAAGAGTTCTTTATACATTCTGAATACAAGACCTTTATCAAATATTTCCTCCCATTCTGTGGGTTGTCTTTTCACTTTCTTCATAGTGTCCTTTGAAGCACAAATATTTTTTATCTTGATGAATTTATTTTTCTTTTGTCACTTACACTTTTATGTCCTATCTAAGTAACCGTTGCCTAAATCAAGGTCACAAAGATTTACACCTGTTTTCTTCTAAGAGTTTTATAGTTTTAGCTCTTACATTTAGGTCTTTAATCCATTTTGAGTTAATTTTTGTATATGGTGTGAGATTAGGGTCCAAGTTAATTCTTTTTCATGTGCATGTCCAATTGTCCCAGCACCATTTGTTGAAAAGACTATTTTTCCCCCATTGAATGGTCTTGGCACCCCTGTCAAAAATCAACAGACCAGTAAATCTAAGAGTTTATTGCTGGACTCTCAATTCTGTTTCATTGACCTACATGTTTATTCTTATGCCAGTATCACAGTGTCTTGATTACTGTAGCTTTAGTAAGTTTTAAAATTAGGAAATGTGAGTCTTCTAATTTTGTTCTTTTCTAAGACTGTTTTGACTATTCTGGGCCCCCTGCATTTCCATGTGAAATTTAGAATCGGCTTATCAATTTCTGCAAAGAAGCCAGATGGAATGTTGACACGGACTGCATTAAACCAGTAGATCATAAGTCAAATCAGTCCACTCCTTTGCTTTAAAACCTCCAATAGCTCTGCATCTCATGCAGAGTAAAAGCCCAAGTTCTTAAAATGGCCTCGTTAAGATCCTAAACAGTCTGGTTCCATAATAACTCTCTCAAATCATTTTTTGATACTCTTTCTCTTGCTCTTTCTTAAACTCACCCAGTATTCTGCTTCACTGCCCTTATACTTGATTCTTAGCCTGAAATGCACTTTCCCCAGATATCTACCTGACTCACTCCTGACTTATAAAACTTTACTCATGGTGCGCTTGTAGTGAGGCTTTCCCTAACGGCTCTATGTAAAATTGCACAGACACACATTCTCTCCATCTCCCCTTCATTTTTTTTTTCCTCCAAAACAGTTATCACTCCATAATTTAGATGTTTATTTTGTTTAATGTCTATATACCCTGACACTAGAAAGTAAGCTCTTTGAAGGCAAATGTTTTTGTCAATTCTGCTCACTCATGTAATACCATCACTAAACTAAATAATAAGTACCAAAACTAAATACCAATACTAAAACAAGGCCTAGCACATAATTAGCACTCAATGAATTTCTGCTGGATGAATGAAGGATTAAGGTAGGGAATAAGAACCAAGAAGAACAGGAAAGCAATAGGTCAGAATTCTAAGAAGAAATAGAAATACTCAATAAACATTAAAAAGTTTAATTCATTAATAAAGAGAATTGAAAGAGAATATTATGTTGCCTATTAAATAAAAAATAATAATTTTTAAAGTAATAATAGCCAGTGTTGGCAAGGTTATAGCAAAACAGGAATTCTCATACACTGTAAAGAGTATAAAATGGTATAACCTTTCTGGAAAGCAAAGCACCACTACGTATCAAGAAATTTTAGATTACATATATTCTAAGTATATTAAAATGAATTCCAGGAATTCATCATAAAAAATAATCACAAACTTACAGAAATATTTATATAGAGACATTCAAAATACAGTGATTTTTCTACAAAGAAAAACTGAAAAATATTTGGTGAGAAAGGAATGATAAAATAATTTCTGGTGACAAGTATAATTTATTAAATACTTAATGCATACCAGCTAGAATGCTAAGATTATGACTTTACGTAATTCTTAAAACACTAAGTAATATTATGCCTATACTATAAATAAGAAAACTAAGGGGGCCACCCCCGTGACGCAGAGGCTAGGCGTGCACGTTCTACTTTGGTGGCCAGGGGTTCGCCAGTTTGGATCCCGGGTGCGGACATGGCACCACTTGGCAAGCCATGCTGTAGTAGGTGTCCAAGATGTAAAAAGTAGAGGAAGATAGGCACAGATGTTAGCACAGGGCCAGTCTTCCTCAGCAAAAAGAGGAGAATTGGCAGCAGATGTTAGCTGAGGGCTAATCTTCCTCAAAAAAAAAAAAAAGAAAACTAAGGACTAGAAAAAGTAATTATCAGGCTTAAGGCTCTTAAGTAGCAAAACTGAGATCTGAACCCAGATTTGTTAGACTCCACTAAGTACCATATCCCTACAGATTCATAAAATGGAATTTTATACAGCCATTAAAGACTATATTTTGGGTAACATTTAATTGGAGTTTTTTAAAACAATGTTAGAAAAGAAAGCAAGACATAAAACTAAACATAATTTACATAGATACTCAAACGGGACTGGACTAGATTAGACTAGGATATTAGACTGGAAAGGAAACCTCTGGGTAATGAGATTAAAAGTAACTATTTTTTTTTTTTTTTTTTGAGGAAGATTAGCCCTGAGCTAACATCTGCTGCCAATCCTCCTCTTTTTTGCTGAGGAAGACTGGCCCTGAGCTAACATCCGTACCCATCTTCCTCTACTTTATATGTGGGATGCCTACCACAGCATGGCTTGCCAAGCAGTGCCATGTCCACACCTGGGATCCGAACCTGTGAACCCAGGGCCACTGAAACGGAACGTGTGCACTTAACCACTGCGCCACCAGGCCTGCTCCAAAAGTAACTTCATTTTTAACATACAATTTTTTATATATATTACTTTTGTATTTTCCAAATAATGTATAATGTACACATTTTTTTCATAATCAGGGAAAAAACAACAATCACTATTATCAATTAAAGCTGAATCTTGGACTTCCCTCTATACTTCTTCCAGCTTATAAACTATATATTCCTTCTACTCTCTTTATGTATTGTGTCTACTTTTATGGAAAAACATCTAAACATACAGGCAGTTTGAGTGTCCGACCAATAATTAGTACAGTGAAGAAACTCTTACGTATAAAAATATACATAGTTGACACTACCTTCCAATTATCAGTTTTACTTTGTATATCCAGTTTATTTCAATCCCATTTATTCACTTATGTTCACGTTTAACTCTTAACACCTGATTTTACGTAGCTTCCTTTTTCCATAAAGACAGTCTTATTAACATACTAGTTTAAACAAGCTTGTATAACTTCTTCACATACATACCTGACCTAAATAGAGTGTATTCTAAAAACATATGGGCAATAAGGATGGGTAAGTAAGGTCTGATGTATTATGGAGAAATGTGAAAGGACTGGCTCAAATGAAGAACCTAAAAACAAATAATATAAATTTTTATTAATAGTGATACCATGAATACATAAATTTCATACACATATTTTCCAAGCTCTTCTACCTCTTTTATTCAATTTTAACCTGCTAGAGAACCTTATACATACTTGCTCATCATCAAAATATTCCAGCATAGTAAACAGAGGTCTTACCAACTCCAGTTTTTTTAAACATAAAAGGACATATTTTCTTTTAACCATTAAAAAAAATTCAGGTTGAACATGAAATCTACAAATACCAGTAGAGTGAACACAAACTCAAACAGTCATATGGCAATGGTCAGCACTACCATTCAAGTGGATAAATCAATAAACACCACTTCAAAAAAACCATCCTACTGAAAACTAAATCATTAACCCAACACTAAAAAAATTCCCCATATCATTTTATGAATAAATCTGTTATATGTACATATTATAAGGAGTTTTATATAAAATAATTTTAAATTACTTACCTTTATGGAAAAATATCCAAAAAATAATAAATTTCTATAACAATCAAGAAAGATATTCTATTTAATACTCAATATTAACCATCTAGGAAGAATAGGCCTAAGAAAACTGATACTAACAATAAAACACACTGATAATAATTTACTTCTTTAAAACCATCAAAAAAAGGAACAAAAACAAACAAACAAAAAAAATAAGGAACATACAGGGAAGTTACAGGACCCAAACTGGCATGATTCCAGACAAGATCAGAAAATATCTCCCTCTGAAACAAACACTACCAAGAATAGTACAATCAATCTTCACTGGGGTTTAAGTTGCCTACAAGATGATTTTAAGTGTACCGCTGTGATAAGGGTAAGGTAGATACTAAATCTCATCAAGGTACCAAAGGGTTTGTAATTAAAAAGACAGGATTTATAGAAAATGTAACCCAATTAACAAATAATCTTAAATGTAACTCTCTGTCATAAGAATTATTATAATTGATAATTGAAGACATCCTAAATATTGGATGGACAAGAGTATGGTTAATAAATTATTGCAAAAAAAGAGAAAATCCTACTTTGGAATACTATGCGCTATTAAAAAGTTTAAGGTGGAATGTAGAAACCAGAAAGAACTCTGAGACATATTCTTAAGGGGAAAAGCCAGTTGCTGAACAATATATAGCTTTTGGCCAGAGAAGGGCAGAAAGATGTATTTCCTCTATAATTCTTGAACATTTTCTACAATCTTTCATTACTTACTGCCAGTACTAGACTTGCTTAGTTATGTTAGAGCCTCACATTGTTGGTTTTACTGACATAATTTCATCCACATATGTTTATTTCCCCAATTAGCTATGTTCCTCGGGAACACAGATTATGACACATACTCCAATTTGGCACTTAGCCATAGTCCTATACACAAAATAGGTGCACAAATAATATTTGTGGATGGCTAACTATATGTTAGCAAGAAGTAGCATTTTAGCAGCAGAGAAATTAAAACACACATTAAATGGGAAAACTAGGACCACGATATAGTTCTTTAGACTTCCTGGATCAACATATTTATGCAACCACAAGCTCTTGGAGAAATTCTAGTAAGAAAATCTGTGATAACATTTTCCTTCTCATGAGAGACTTTTTAAACACTCAAATATGTAAATAAAAGCTTAAAAACCTATGTGAAAAATATTCATACTCTATGACTTAAATAATACTTACCGTCTGTCTGGCAGTGATACTCAGGTCCATAATACAAGGTCTCTCTTTCTCACAAAGTACCTAGGAAAATAAATTTGTAATCAGAAAGGTGGTTAAGAATCATAATGAATATTCTCTGTGTCTGCCGAGAACTCCCTCTTCTCCTCCCCTACCCTACCAGGGCTCTGTTTTCTACTAATGGACCCCTGGCCATATAAGTGAGCACATCACATGACCTAGGCTGAACTAAGCATGGTACCTCATCCCCTCGGCTGCAGAAAGTGATCAAGGGATGGGCATGTGACCAAATCTATCTAGAGCCTCTGACATGAAGCTCTAAGTAGACAAGCCTGTGCTTCCAGGAACCAGGTCCCAACATGTAAGGAAGCACATCCACAGTAGGAGAAATGATGCCAGTATGCATAGACTGAAGTATAGGAAAGGCCCAACTATGGGCAAGTTAATCCTTAGCTCCTTATGGATATGCATCTCTATGCCTGCAATTTCTGTTATATGGTTATTGGTATAAGCAGTAACTGGTACATACCACTACATACTGGTATAACCAGTACCTTTTCTCTCCACAGGCTATTTCAAACTGTATGTCTGTTACCTGCAATCCAAAAAGTTCTAACTAATACACAGAAAAACTGAACAGATGGAAATTATACATCAAAAGATATATTTCACTGAAGATATAAAAGGGCCTACCAAGTATGCCTTTGCTGACTTAGAAAACTTTCACCTATCAGATGTAATGTCTCTTTCCCCTTTTTACTGGTAAACCCCAAAATTACTATTTAATTCTCCTTTTAGTATACTCTGTGCAAATCACACCTTTTTTTTTTTTTGCACCGAGGAAGATTCACCCTGAGTTAACATCCATTGCCAGTCTTCCTCTTTTTTGCTTGAGGAAGATTCGCCTTGAGCTAACATCTGTGCCAATCTTCCTCTGTTTTGTATGTGGGTCACCGCCACAGCATGGCCACCAACAAGTGGTGTAGGTCCATGCCCAGGAACTGAACCTGGACTGTTGAAGCAGAGCACACCAAACTTAACCACTAGGCCACTGGGCTGGCCCGTCATATCATTTTTTAAGACAGCCAATTTACCTTTTCCCTTTATTACATCCTAACCAGTACATGGTAAGATGACAAACAAGTAAAGCAATTCCAATGTGATAAGATGATATAGAATGCTAAGGAAACAAACAGAAGGTGTATGTAAGCCAGCCTTGAGGTATCAAGGAAGACTTCCCCATAGAGGTGTCACCCCAACTGAGACCTGAAAGACAACTCTGAGTTAATGAAACCAAAGGGGAGGGAAGCAAGGAAGTAGAGAAGGCATTCCAGACAGAGGGAAGCTTCTCTACTCAGGTTTAGATTTAACAAACTTGGCATCTTAAAGAAGAAATGCAAGTGACTGAATGACTAGCATGTTGAGGGCAAAGGGAGAAAGCAACACGGAGGATGAAGATGAAGAAGTAAACAGAAGTCAGATCACGAAGACCCCGAAAGCCAAATTAAGAAGTTCAGACTTTATGCTGAAGGCAATGAAAAGCCACAAAAAAGGTTTTTAGCAGGGGAGTTACACATTCAAATGTGCTAGACAGATTACTCTGGCTACAGTGGGAAAAACAGATTGGAAGGCAAGACTGGAAGCAGGATAACCACTTAGGAGGCTACTGAAGCAAGCCAGGTGAGAGATGATGCTAACCACGGAGTAGGCTGGTACCCCTGGGGATAGAGAAAAGGCCCAGACTCAAGAGATATTAAGGAGGAAAATTCCAACAGGGCTCAGTGATCAACCAGAATGTGGGGAAAAAAAGAAGAGGACGAGGAATAGGTCATGTTTCTGTCAAGTTTTTAGCAGGGTCTACTATTTACTGAATTCTTACCACACATACGTTATCTCATTTAATCTTCCTCTAGAAAGAAGACAGAAAAGCAGCAGTTTGTTTCAGATTTTTGGTTTGAGGTTGGGAGAGGGACGGAACGGGTGATAACGACTACAGTTTGGGATCTGCTCGGTTTGAGGTACGATGGGAGCACACAAATGGACATGTCACGCATGTAGATGACACACGAGTTCAGTTACCAGGAAAGAGCTTTGAGTTGGAAATTAGAGAACTACCAGCAAACAAATGGCAACTGGGAAAAATATTTTTAAAAGTAAAATATCTCCTTTATTCATGCCAATATTTATTTAATACCTACATACCCAGTGTTGGGACCAGTGTTAGGCGATTTTAAAAGTGAGTAAGCTTCAGTTACTAGAGGGAGGAGGCAGCTCAACATAGCAATCAGTGTATAATGGAAATACACCAAAGGCTCAGAGGTGACACAAAGAGTGAGCGATTATCTCTGCTGCGGGGTGGAAGGAACACTTCACAACAAATACCACCTAAATCTTGAAGTAGGTTAGCAGACAGTTTAGGGAGGAGAGCAGGAGGAATAGTAAAGACACTCCAGACAGAAGCAGCAATAAATTCAAAGACACAAAAGAATTTTTAAAAAAAAGATGCCCTGCTTCAGAACAGAGAAATTAAATATTATTCATGCCAGTCTCCCAAATTAATTCTTAAATTTAATGAATAGAGAGGATGTATAAAAAAATTTTTCTTAAAAAAGACAAGGGGGAAATTCACTTTACTTAAATATCAGAGCCTATTATGAAAGCAACATAATAAAATTAAATAGTACAGCTACAAAAATCCAGTGAAAGATTGAAGAACTGGGGCCGGCCCAGTGGCGCAGTGGTTAAGTTCACACACTTTGCTTCAGTGGCCCAGGGTTCGCAGGTTCAGATCCCTGAAGCAGACCTAGCCCCGCTCGTCAAGCCAGACTGTGGCAGCATCCCACATAAAATAGAGGAAGACTGGCACAGATGTTAGCTCAGCTACAATCTTCCCTCACACACAGAAATAATAATAATAATAAAAACCATTTAAAAAAAATTGAAGAACTATTATGAGAAGTCAAGAGACCAGAAATAATCCTAACTATACCTCTAAATTTATATGTAATAACATAGGCTTTCTAAAACAAGAAAGACAGAATTTTTTAATAGTATTAAAATGATTTAATAGTAATTTAAACAATTAAGGTGGTGTCACATTTTATACTAAAATAAATTCTGATTATAGAGTTTATTTTAGAAATATTGGGGAAAAACTTATTATCACATCTATAAAACAACGAAATTTCTTAATTTGGAAGTATGAAGCAATGACAAAGGAAAAGAATGACTGATTTCATATATGAACATTTTAAACTTCTGACAATTAAAAGTAACCAAAAGTGAAAAGAAACCTAGAGAAAAATATTTTCCAGGAAAAAAGACACTAATATGTTTGGGTCTTTCTCAAAGTTTTAAGAAAAACAGACCCAACAGATGATCAAAGGATATGAACACACAATCCACATTCAGAAAAATACAGTGTCCACCATGAGTCTGGTGAGGTTTGGTGAAATTGGGACACTCAGAGGCAGTGCTCAGGCAAGTGTAACACATGGATTCTTCGATCCTGTAATTCTACTGACTAATAGTCATAAAAATCTAGCTGGCTTAGCCAGTTTATTCCTCCACGGAAATTAATAAAATGCTCTTTTAATTTTTGTATATGAGTTTGGACAGCACAAATTGATTAAACTCAATCTAGATGTACCAATAAAATAATTTCTGGAGGACAATGTTGAGATTTTTCCAACAGCCTGCCCTTCGAGGCATATTTTAAGACTTTCGTCCAGTGGGTAGGAAAGTACTTAAAAGCAAACTCAATAAACCAAAATTCCAAGTAATGTTAAAATCTGTACAAGATTTAATATAAACAAATTGAATTATTTATTGTAACATAGAGGGAAAAATGTTCAGATGACAAACCAATATATCTTATTTCATCAATTTTAAGGCGTGTTTACATTTCTGCAGTAAGGATACCTCCTAAACTCAATGACACGTCACAGTTTACTTGGAGCGTTTTTGGGGTTTTTTTTAATTTTGTAGAGGTACATAAAATAATAGTTCATCTCACAACTGATGGGATGAACGGTAGTTATTTGGAAATGTAATCATTTACTTGATATCAAAGGTTTTGTTTCAGAGGGCCATGGAAAGAATGTGCTAAGAGTCAACTTTTGGGTCACAAAGATCCAGGCTTGACTGAATCCTTTTCTGCCAAATACTAGTTGGGTGACTTTGGGCAACTTTCTTCACATTTCTCAGATTTTCTGTTTCCTCACCTGTACAATACTACAACCGATAATAGTACAAATCTCATAGAATTCTGAGAATTAAATACACTAGTGCTGGGGCCGGCCCCGTGGCTGAGTAGTTAAGTTCACGCACTGCGCTACGGCGGTCCAGGTTTTTCGCCAGTTCGAATCCTGGGCGCGGACAAGGCACCGCTCATCAGGCCATGCTGAGGCGGCGTCCCACATGCCACAACTGGAGGGACCCACAACTAAGAATGTACAACTGTGTACGGCGGGGCTTTGGGGAGAAAAAGGAAAAAATTTTTAAAAATACAATAGTGCTTAAAACAGTGCCTGGCATTTATATTACTATGAGGATGAGGGTGATGAAGATGATAACGACATTTGTTTTACTCATTGCCTGGCATGGTAAATATCAAAAAAGTTCAATCTTTTCTTTAATTCCTAATAAAACTACTTCTAAAGGCATTTAATAGTGATCTGATCATGGGGATGTAATGTACAGCACGTTGAATACTACAGTCAATAATGTTGTATTAACTTTGTAAGGCAACAATTACTAGACTTACTGTGGTGACCATTTCGCAATGTATACAAATGTCATATCACTATCCTGTACATCTGAAACTAATATAATACTGCATATCAATTATACCTCAATTTTTTAAAAAAGTTATCTAAGATTAGATGTTTGACTTGACATACTGAGATTCTCCCCAAGACTTACAACGTGAGTTTGCAATAAAAAGCCAAGGAGAAGGGAGGCAAAAATTCACATTGGCTAATAAATGGTTCCTGCTTTGCATATCACAAGATATGCATAACCATGGATAATCATAAAGGAAAAGAAGATTTTTAAAAAAGGAAAATCCTCGGTGTTAAAATAACATGCACCTAGGGGCTGGCCCCGTGGCCGAGCGGTTACGTTGGCGCGCTCCGCTGCAGGCGGCCCAGTGTTTCGTTGGTTCGAATCCTGGGCGCGGACATGACACTGCTCATCAAACCACGCTGGGGCGGCGTCCCACATGCCACAACTAGAAGGACCCACAATAAAGAATATACAACTATGTACCGGGGGGCTTTGGGGAGAAAAAGGAAAAAAGAAAATCTTTAAAAAAAATAAAATAAAATAACATGCACCTACACGGATAATATTTATTTTAGCCTCTATCGTGTACAAGATACTATGCCTACTTTAATAAAGAAAAAAAATTCCTCTACCATAACTTAAGCCCACTTTTTCTTTGAAATCCAGTACTCAGGTCCTCTTTACTCTCCACTTCAAAGGAACTGAAGTCAACAGGTACACAAATTTATATTCCTAAGTACTGTATGCTGATTTGCACTGGGTTTTTTAAATTCTTTCATACGTCAGTCCTTTTTCATGAACGAAATTGTAGCCTCCTTGCAGAAAAGGAGCCACTGCTTTCCTATTCTTCCCACCACCTCCACCACTGCAGACCCCCATCCCAAGACAGCCACTTTAATAAAGGCTCTGACACAGGAACTAAAAATTGTTGATTTAATTTCTGACCTTTAAAAACGGACAACGTAAGAAAATGGAACCATGCTGATTATCAAAACACACGATGTTAACATTTCTTAACACGGGTAAGGATTCTTTCATTGAAAAGTGAAGGAGGCGAGTTAAAACGAGTTAGAAAAGAGAGCCGGGTGTTTGAGAGGAAAAAAGCAATGAAAATAATAAAATCGGAACGAAAAAGCTGATGTTGGGATGAAAAGATAACATTTTTTTTAAGTGGGAGAAGAGAGGCAGCTGCAAATCAGTCGTTGTTTTCAGAGAGGCCAGGTTGATCTTGAGGATTTTCTTCTCTGAGCTCAACCAATCCCCACCTTTTCTGAGTTAAGCAGTCTCCAGGCAAGCAGCGCTTCTTGATTGGCTTAAAGATGTCGAGTAGAAAAACCAGCCAATCCTGCCTTCAAGTCAGAACTGCGCTATGGAGACATTACAACCACTGCATGGCGAGAATGTGTACAAACGTGTCGGTGCCAAATATCAGATCCCAAGACTGCTGCCGAGAGGAAGATCCTTTAAAGCCAACACTGAGCGTAATCTGGCACCTACACTTTTTTTTTAATTACTCTAGCTCTCTTTCTGAGGGAAAAAGCTGTTTTAACCAAAAGAGCCTAAGGAATAAACTGTGCCACTGGTCAGATGACTCACTATCAAACACCGATTTCCAAACGCACACCTCGGAGAGGGTCTGGATGGCAGCAGGGTTTGGGGAGGGTCCCAGCGAGGCTCGAAGTTGCGGTGGGGGCGGGGAGTACGGACGCGGGTCAAAGAGGGACAGAGATCAAAGACAGGGCACGTCCCCGCAGTATCCAAAATCGGCATATGGGGAGTGAGAGGCTGTTTGGGTTTGAACAAGTGAGTAAATAAATGGCTCTGCTAGGACTACGTGCTCGGGAGGGTGGCCCGAAGTTCCAAGAAGGCTCCGCCTGGGAAACGCCAAAGGCGCTCACAGGGGCGCCAGGTCAATCCCGGCGGGAACCGACAGGGAGGGCGCCCCGGGGGGCGAGAGGGGTGTGCCTGGGGCCTGGAGGCCGAGGAAGCGGCCGCGGCCCCCGCCTTCGGCCGGCGCGCCAGGGCCCGCCCCTCGCCGACGCCTCACTTCCCTTCCGTCGGGGCGGCCCGGCCTCCGGGCCGGACAGCGCGGGCCCCCCACCTGCGGGGTTTGGGTTTTGGTCGCAGCGCCGCCCGCCGCTGCCTCAGGCCCTCCGCCTGGGCTCGGGGCCCCGGGCCCCCTTTCCCCAGGACCCTCACCCGCCCCGCGGCCCCAGCTCCCACCCGCCGCCTTTACCTGCTCCCGGAACGCGCCGAGGGCGTCGAGGCCGGCGCCGCGTCGTCGAGTGCGCGCCGCGGGTCCGCAGCCTTTCCCGCCGCCGCCGCTGCGCTCTCTGGCGCGGCGCTGGGCTGGCGACCAGCGGCCCGGGCTGTGGGGGGGGGCGCGCGGTGAGCGCCCGGCGGGGAGACACTGCCGCTCTCCGTCCGGCCACGGAAGAGCAACCGCGCAGCAGCCAGCCGCGAGAGGGCGGGTGGGCGGCCGAATGGGGAGGGGTCTCAGGGAGGTGGGAATGGCTGCCACGTCGCCTAGGTGGGTCGCCGCCCTCCGCCTCCCCCACCCCCGCCGGCTCCCCGCCGCGACCTCTGCTTCGTCCCCGAACTCCGCCGTGGCGCGTCGGCTCGCCCCGCAGGGCCGACCTGGCGACCCGGGCCCGCGGGCGCCCCCCCCCCCCCCCCCCCCC